TCGTACTTAACCCCTTGATTAGCCATTTAAAAAGAAGCTTTTAATTACCTTGAAGTACTGACTACCTGAGAGAGCTCCTTAATGGCAGCTCCGTCCCAGTGGCAAGTTGAGTCACTTCTGTTGTGATGCTTAGAGATTTCAAAGCATGACTTTTGGGAACAAGAGTTCAGGAGTATTTGCTCAATCTTAACATTAGTCTAAGGCTCCCATTGGAATAGCTATATCCCTTTATGCTTGGAGATCTACAGAAGAACACGAGTATGAACACTGTGTATGTCACAGCCTTGAACACAATTTGGTTTTAATATATACTCCTTTATACTTACAATATTGTTCTGTTGAACCATTTATTTGAATTCACTCTATGCTCCTTTCCCAACTGGCCCAACTTGCTGTAGTATCACAGAAATGAGATTTCAGAAACAGGTCTAGAGCTTGATCTCCTGTACATAAGTGTCTGGTCTTGCAACTGCTTGAGCCAAACATCTGTTCTTCAGCTCCCTCTCATCAATCAGATATGCTCAAATGAGTTAAAATGTCACTTGAAGAAAGAAATGTGCATACAACAAATACTTGGAAGGAGGGCTAAAGGATCACAGGATAGGTCAGCAATGTTCATACCAGGGAAACCTAGGAGGCCAGAAGCAGGGTACAATGAGTGAAATAGGAAACAATTCTGTAGGTCTTGGCAGAACTTTCTTTTGCAATAATTATCTAAAGCTGTCTGGAGGCTTTCCCTGGAGCCTTTCTCTCCCTTGACCCAATAACAAAAGAATCCATGTTACAAACTTCCCTGTGGGATATGTAATGGAAATGCAAAATGCAACATCGTTAGCTGGCAGCCTTGTAAAATCCTGCCTAATGTTAATCCTACAGAACTTGTTCAAGGGCTGAAAGTCCTCTGAATAGTTGGGGTGTGACTGTTTCAGGCATTTCTCTTGCATATGTGGATTTTCACAGACAGAAGACACAATGGCTCCATTGGACCATGCCTCCAAAATATGTTGCCATTACAGAAATGGCCTGTATGGTTCCATGAAGATAATTAAGAAATAAGGTTCTATGAAAGGATATTAGACCACACTTCACAACAGTGCAAATCAAGGGAAGAGCACACAGTTTGGTGAGGGAAGGAGGGGAACGTGCAGATCTGGCCTCCCCCAGAGAACTGCAGGGAAGCCCAATCGCTTGCACAGAAGCAGCTGTGGATGTCCCTCTCCTTGCTCTTCCTCATGGGGAACATCATGATAAGACAGGGGTGGTCCTGTTGCATCAGTTGCTGACAGCTTTTTGTGCCACTACTACCAAATCTGTCCTAACACATTTTTTAAGGGTAAATCTAAACGTTTCCTGACGGCACATCGTTGGTGTGCCAAGGGTTAGTGTCTCCTTATCGTGAGGAAGCAGTTTGGTTTCAAGGGGCGGCCCAGATGACCAGATTGCCCCAGCCCTCAGCTCTCTCCTGATTAACACCTCTCCAGCTGAAGGAGCCAGTTGACAGCAGGGCAGGAGAGGGTATGTTCAGAGGTACCGTTTAGAAAAGTATTGGCAGCGCATGACTTGGTCTTTTATATTGATTCATGTTATTACATTGCTCTGGTAGCCAAACGTCCCAGGTAGAGGCAAGGTTTTATTGCATTAGATTTTGTCATGCCAGACACTATTTTTTTCCAGTCTTTCGGCCTCATTCACTGCTTTATCCTGTTCAACTTCAGTCAACAGGCAGTTTGCTAAAGATTTCAGGGAGAATAAGAGCAGGCCAAATCATCACCACAAATCAAATTTGTGGTGACTCAAAAAAGCGTGTCCTCGTGCCGCCAGGATTCCTGTGCATATCTGGTGGTTTTGTGACCGAAAGGTCAAAAATGGTCCTTAGGAAACTGTCTTACCTGATGCTGACAAAGTCAGCGCTCGTCTACGTGGGGGCAAGCCCGGTGGCCAGTGGGCTCAGCTGGGGCTGAATTCAGTGATGTGGCTGCAGCCAGGCCCCAGCGCAGATCGCACACAGCCAAGCGGCAGGCCCGGCCCCTGGCCATGCTCCGCGGCAGCGTTTTGGCGGACACACGTTGCCCCCCTGCCCTGCTGTATCCGGTTACTGAGGCGTCGCTCCGGCAGCCATCGTCCCACCGAGCCACACGCACCAAGAGCTGCCGGGCATGTGACATGCTCGGTCTCCCCTTGGCCATCCTCGGGTTTCTCTTGCTTGGGCGGGATGGATTTAAGCTCATGGGTGTCCTGAGGAAGGGTAAATGCTGTTCAAAAGGTATGTGAGGAATGAAGCCAATTCCCCCCCGGGGTGGGAAGAGAGAGGGAAGCTTGAGGCTTTCCCCAGCTCACTCTTAAATTTCGACCCTGGATTGTGTGTGTGTATATGAGAAAATTAAGCAGAGACTACACATTGCCCAATACAGTCAATATCAGGGATAAGATATTCCAGCCTCTTGATTTCATAGATTTATCCAAGTGTGAGCAGTAGCTCTCCACAGACAAAATAGGAAGTGAATGTAATGGATATCTAAAAGGGGATCATCAGGTGGCGATAGTTTGACGATGAGGGAAGTGCTCGTTTCAGGCTGCAGGAACAGAAAGTGCTGCTGCTGTCACTGCTCCCAAAATGGCACAGCTTGGTCCAGCATCCACTCGGGCTCCATGGACCCCGGCAGGCCAGTGCCCTGGCAGCACCACCCTTTGCTCGTCTGCTGGAAGCCACCAGGGCGACTTGGAGACGCAGGGCACTTGGTCCCTCGGGGGAGCAGGTGCCCCATTGTCACCCGGGCTCCTTTAGCACCCTTCTGGGAAGGACCTTACACCTTTGGCTGACTTAGTGCTGCAACAGATAGCCCTTAAAGAAATTAGTCACAGTATACTGTACTGGCGTGAACACAATCCCATAGGTGTATTTTTCCTGCACGTATACTATTTAAGCTGACTTGGATCTAGCTACACTATGGTGAACTTTGTGGCACAGTTTAGTCTGTTGACTTTAAAGTTTTTATGGTGTGATCTCTTGGTTACCTCAGAGCGTTGCAAAAGACTTAATGGCTTCAGCAGTCAAAAAATAAATGCATTTTATTTGAGCTCTGTGCTAATGCAGAAAAACTTGAATAAGGCATGCAAGAAAGCTATAATGCATTACCATAACATAGGCAGCAGTACACCATGAATCCTGGTGGGATTTTTTCAGCAATTTTTTTTCCTTTTCTTTTCTTTGATAAATAATGCAATCAAGAAGTTCAGAATAGCTAGCAAATGTGTTAATTTTGACAAGCAGTTTTGCTTGAAAAACAATTTTAAAAGTTTCAAGATGCAGTATTACATCTGGACATTTTCTAAATGGTCTGCTGTGACTGACTTCAGTTTTAAGTGGTTTCTTCCACTGCCCAGCATTGTTGCTAGCTGCTTCCAAGCCCCGCGTTTCCTATCCTGTGCAGCTGGGCTTGCTCAGCACTGCAGCCCTGCATTGCTGCACCTGTTATAGATGGGATTAAAGATGCAGAAGATTCCCAGAAAGTCCTACGAAAGAAGTGAGACTTCCTGTACAAGGCCTTTCCTTTTCCAAAAGATCTACAGACCCTATGGTAAAATCCCTAAGCTGTATCAGGAGCTATTAATTAGACCTCCTCAGGCTATATCTCATCTACAGGGTTTTACCTGGGCATTCTCAAAGTACACTTATCAGTTGACACCTTTCTGATTATAACAGTACATTTATTCCCTCGACATGAGGGAAAAGTTGAATTAGGAAGGATTTTCTAAAGAAAAAAAGAATGTAGAACATTAACCAAGGCAATTTTGTCTTATAACCCCAACAAAGGAGTCCTAGTTAATGTGCCCAGCAGAGATCAAGATGGAAGGGGTTGCTGAAGCCTGACCTGAAGCCCGTTCTGCTGATCAGATGCTAAATGCGAAGTGTTAACTACTTTTTCGCAGCTGTAGAGCTACACAAGGGAACTTTATTTTAGCAGAGTTACTGTATTTGGAAAGTCTTTGCAAGATGAGGAGAAGCTTAGCAGAAGTTCTCTAGATGAGTTGTGTCTGTGGTTGCTTGCATTTGCCTGTCTCTCTGTCATTTGGGACTAAAGGTGATTTATTGTGGGGTTTGGCTATTGATGCACAGCACACAGATACCAATATTTTTAAGTGTGGACAAAATATTGAGCAGCAAATGAGAAAGCAATTTTCATTCTGGTAAAAGGCAGAAATGGTACTCTTAAAATAAGACTTAAAATATTTATGTTTTTCTGTGCAATTTTCTCAAGTCTTTGGTGTTGAGAAATCACCCATTCGAACTACTGCACTGGGTAATTTTCCTTTCCATCTCTTATATTGCTAGCAAGTACTATTAGGTGTCAATATAGTGATAGCTTTATGTCCTAAAATAAAATCCTGTTTGTATTTTGTTCTCTTTTTTTGCTATAAAGATAAGAGATCTATCCTTCACTGGCAATCAAAGTCTAGAGATACTATGAAATGAGCTTGCCTTTCCTTGATCAAGTCAAGGACATTTCCTTTGCCTTACCATTCCCTAGACTATGAATTGCTTATTCATTTTCTTGGTTGTCATCATCAGATCTATTTGATTTTCACAGTTGTTCCTACTTGATGTTTTCACTTGTATTTTATTGAAGTAATTTTCCGAAGGAGTTACACAAAAAAGAAGCAGGGTGAAGTGATTTATGTTGGAGACAAACTTGAGACAAACCAGTAGATCCAGCTGCCCGCTTCCTGTCACCCTTGTGTGCACATGCAAAGGTCTCCAACTGATTGAACCCACAGCTCTGCAGCTCAGGCCCACTCTAAATCTGAGAAACTGCAAGATATAGCTCAGGACACTAGTTAGAGAGCTTTTTAAAGAGAGCCTGAATGAAACAGCTCTGTATAGGAAGCTGTTGTTCTGCCTAACAGATTTGTTCCCATTTCTCAAATGTGTGCCTGTTGTGATCTCTTTGTGAAGTTTAATTTTTTTGCCATCACAAGGAAGATGCCTCATCTGAAACCAGTCAAACTGATAGAGCTGTGTCTCTGTTCTCATGTTTCTCACAAGCACCATCAGATTTTCTTCTGGAGAACTGAGAGGAGTGAAAATTATTATCTTCCTGTTCACAGCAGTTAAAGGGACGATGCAGTTGCTGCACTAAGGCAGAGACAACTGGTGTGGTTTCGGGATCGCTCATTAAGAAGGTATCAATTACCTGAGGGAATTATTGGCCTCTTTGTAATACATTTTCTAAGCTTATGAACAGAAAGAGGCATTTTACTAGCTTTGCTTAATAAGGTAATAGGAATAGGTATTGCTGATGAGGATGGCAGGAATATCTGACTGAATGTTGATTTGTCTGCTTTTTAATTAGCACAGAAGTGAAGACTAATTTTGAATACTGAGCTCCTCATTCCCATACTCATGGGTAAGCTCCCATTTTGTTCATGATTCTGCATCAGGGATTGATATTACTAGGAAAAGAAGCTTTTCTGACAAAAGGGAGATTCTTGTTTGTAAAGGCGGAGGTCTAAGACTAAGCTGAAGTATTACATTTTAGCTGCCATGTGGTTATCTGCAGTTTGTGCTCACTCTTCTGCACCTTCAGTTAAGAATTTTTCCTTTAGTTCCAAGCTAGGAGAGTAAGACTAAATGACTTCTCCTTTTTTTCAGGTGTAAATTGCTTGTGATATCTCAAAACCTATTTCATACAGAAAGTTAGCCATAAATGTGGCACCTGTTTTGGAATGGAATAAAGAAAGGTCTTGGTGTGATTTTATTGTGTTCCTTACAAACGCATTGCATGGAATTAAGTTAGAGTTTTGACTTCTGTCATTGTGCTTAGCAGGCTACTGGCACAAGGCAGCAAGGGTACACAAGCAAACCAGGTATAAGATAATTTGATTGGGGCAAGTAATTATTTATTCATTTACATGTTCTGGTATGATAATTGTTGCCACTACATTATGGTGGCAAGTCACAGACCAAGGCCTTATTGATCCAGTTGGATACACACACTGGTTAGCTGGAAAGGTGGACCTAGGAGTATGTCCCGCTGAATGCAGCTGACTGCAGGAGACGCAGTATTTTTCATTAAAGCAATTCAGCTTTTGAATACGTTGGGAACATGGATTTGAAAAGTTTCTGTACTTTATAGAGGAAGTGTGAGGAACTGTAAATGTTTACAGCACAGCTTTTACTGTATAGTCAAAGGCATGCAAATGTTAAAGAAGAATCTGTATCTGTAACAACGTGCTGGAAAACCCCAACAAATAATAGTCACTTGCATAATTTAATGAAGATACTTTGTCATTTCAGTCAAATAACATTTAAGTTACATAATGGTGTCAACTGGAAACCTAATTTCTGTTCTAATGCTTTATGTTGTTCCTTGTAGAGTCTGACTTTACCTTCTTCCAGCCTTTGCCACTGCTGGCTATTAAATAATTCAGTTGTCACTGCTGGAGCCATTTGCAAAGCTGAGTACTGCTCTGCTTGAGAAATAGTGAAACTGGTGCCCTAAGTGTGAGACTTGAATGTACAGCCAGATCAAGGTGCTTTATTTTTCCATGGACATATGTTTAATAATTCTTTATTAGATGTGCAAGTGAAATAAAGCAGCAATTATCAAACAATTTCTTTGAAAACACTGATAGCATAGCACTGTTACAATACTGTTTCATTTCAAAGCACTTTTTATTAATTTAATTTTAATCAGGCATATATCAGCTAAACTAGAAAAAGAAACCATTTTTATTAGACAAATCAACAATAACCCATTAGTAATTGCCATTAACAGTAGCAATTTCATTGCAAAAACCAACAGACATCTCACACAGTTGCATGAACTCTCCTTGTGGGAAGCTGAGTACTGATTAATTTCACTCTGAACAATCACTTTGCTTCTTATCACCACGGTTTACTTAGTACATCAGAAGGACTGTGAAGGTTCATGAAAAATTTTAAAGTACATTTCACTGTTAAAAGTCATGCATTAAAACAGATTGGTTGCCTACCACACAAAGAATATAGATTAATTTTGGTAAAAGCACTAGCCGAATGCCACAGTGAATTACAACAGCTTCTGGCAGGACAGGAATATTGCAGGTAAGAACACATGTACGTTCTCATTTCTTTGGTAGATTTTTCCATAGTCTTTGTTTGGATGTGTTGCTCTTGATGAACAGACTGTGCTCCAGATTTGCTTTGGTTGTCTGGAATTAGCCTCTCACCACTCTGCCTTTCAGCGGTTGGGGTTGCCGGTGATTGCTCAATATGGGACAAGGTGCTTCCCCTTCAGCAGAAGACAGGATTGTGCGGAATTGTGCCAGCTAAATGGAGCAAGGAAGGAAGGGATATATTTAGCTTTTCACTTCTATATTGCACGTCAGTGAGCAATTGCTATACTTCCCTACTAGCTTTCTATTTTTTAAAAAAATTAAGCTTCATAATATTGAATCAATCCAGTGGTGAGTCAGGATTTATGCTGCCACAGAAGTACTGGAATGAACAACCGTCTTTTTGCAGATCCTATTCAGTCAACTGTCACAGAAACTTTCAGACACTGGTACCACTATGTTATCACCTATGTAAAAAAACCTGGGGTTTGATAAATTAAAAATATCACCAATTGTGAAAGTAAAAAAACAATGCCTTAGGACTAATTCAACTTCGCTTTAAACATTGTTTTTTATGTCAAACTATTTGCACTTAATTTCTGTCCCCTATCCATTGAATAGGCCAATTAATAACACCTTGAACAAATATTAAAGATCCTCATAATACACAATTTATTTCTACATGTGTGCTTTTTATTTTCAAAGATTCAAAGTCCTTAACTAGCCTCATCTGGAAAGATATTAATTCAAACACCTTTGGAAGGACAGGTGACAATAATTTAACTGCATTTGACAGTTTCATAAGAGTTTAGACCAGAAAGAATACTTACGTCAATAAGGCCAGTAAGGGATATTTAGCTTATCCTACACATCTTATTAGGAAATAATGCAATAATAAAGCAATTTGTAGAGCTCCTAACCACTCTATGATAGCACTGAATGGAGAACTATACTCTGGCTATTTGATCTTGTGACACATCACAAAACTCCCTGCTGAGGCAGGTTTTTGGCTGAGATTTGATGAGAATGTGAATTTCTTTTGGGGAATCTTGTAGGAATGAAGATGGGAAGAATTCAGTTTTCTACCTGGCTTCTGCTTTGGGAGATGCAGCACTGCAAGGAAGTTTAAATAAGCAAATCGCCTTTCCTGGAGCAAGGGAAGCAAGTCCCCCAGTTTGAAGTCATCTTGTCTCAGTTCCCACAAGACTTTGTAAGATGTGAGTAGCCTAACCCGGCTGAGGCAGAATCATTATTAAGAGCAATAATGTGGTGTAAAGGTAGTACTCATTTTAGAGTAAAAATGAGACAAATAAACCTAATAAAATGTAGCAATACAATGTAAAGTGATAATATCCCTGAAGCTAAAAGACTAGAAGGGTCTTGTTCCTTGTAATACTGTACCTGTTCTGAGCTGATAGTAATTGGGTCTTTAAGGATAATCCAGATGACACTCTCATGGAGGGGAGGATGAGTCAGAGAGCCACTGTAGGTCCAGTAATCCATGGATTTAGGCAGTAGGCTTGAGGGATCAAAATCAGAAAAGGGAGCTTGCTTACCCTGGGGAAGATATGCTGGGTTAATTAAACCCATGAATAAGATAGGATTTACATCCTACAAGGGAGTGTGTTCCTAAATCAGAGGAGGTCATTTCAAAACACTAATGTTTTCTCATAGCATCAGAGGTGAGTTGCTCACCCTGGTGATAAGTGTGACACTGAGATACATCTAGGATGGCACCACCAACAATAAGCAGTGTTACTCAAAAACAAAAACCAACTTCCCCCCCCAAATGGTATCAGATACCAAAGAGTTCAGTCATCACTGACTAAAGGGTTGTGTTTTGTTTGGTTTTTTTTTCTCCAATACTGAACTCTGTGCTCCTGAGGAAGCAAAACACTTCAGTGTATAATTAATTTTCAGCTGTCTGTTGAGACTAAAGGGAGGATTCACACATGTTGATAATGTTTGCATGTTTAGGGTCAAAGTCTACATTCCTTTGTAAAATCCTGTGGGAGATGCTGTATTGTATTTTTAACATGCTTCACTAAAATTCAGATATTCAGATTCTATCTCTGCTTATCTTGTGCCTTTATGAGAGGCTTAGTGGGAGTGGTCACTGCTTTACAAGACAGCTTAAGAAAAGTGCAGTTCTGGTGTTATTTCTTCTCCCTTGTTTTCCCTCCTTCAACTGAGCAAAACTTCAGTTTGGTTATTGTGAGACTGTGCTGGTGGTGGACATCAGAAGTAATTTTAAATAGACAGACAGATGGATGAAAGCGTAGGATTAGGTAGGAATCAGGAACTGTGTACTCTTACTCTTACACAAAGAGCCCATACCTGTCTACAGGGTGGAGCCCCAACAATACAAAATATCTTATGGGATCCCATAAGCTCATGTCCCGGATCATGCTTTCGGCTCCCACATCTCAACAGCGTCCTTCAGCTGAACCTCTGCATTATTCTGAAGTCTTCAAAAAGGCAGATGAGAGATTGCGTAGATTTTAATTTAACTACTCTGTATATTATCGTGATCAGGCTGTGATGATGTTTACCTTAGTCTTTACTGAATCCAAGGCCTTCAAGACACCCTTCAGGTTTTCATTGCATAAGCCAAGCTGCAAATAAAAAAATACTTTAAAATCCTAAATACGTAACAATAGTTTTATTCTAACAGAATCAAGAATAAGAATATGCTTTATAAAGGTTGATTACTTTAGCTTTGCAAACCCACTATGAACAAGACAAAATGTAGAACTTTTGAGGAAATAACAGGAAGCTTTGCTCCTGCTTTGCAGAGTAATGCAAACAGTAGTGCGAAAATAATCTGATTCAGAAGTATATGATTGCTTCGATCATATGTGCTTATCCTTGAAATTCGCTTTGAAAGCATTCAGAGAGATGGTTTTGCTGCTATCTTTTTTGCAATGGGAACTATGAGTAATTGTATTTTAGCAGTATATAATAATATATAATGTTATTTTATGGTATTTCCTTAATATAACAAAGTCCTTAATAATAAGGAATTCTTTTTCCTGCCTCAGTTGGTTTTGAAAGGCTAACTATGTCATGTACATGGATTCAAGATTTCTTGGAGTTCTGATTTGTAATTTTCTCTTCTGATTGATAGATAGTAATAGCACACGTGACTCAAACTCTCTTTCTGTGAAAGTTCACATCACTGTTAATGGAGTGGAAAGCAAACACAAAAGGTGTGAGCATTGCCTGTTACAAAGGCAGATGAAACACCACAAGCTCACTAGCACTCACGCCTTTAAAGCACAGCTCTTCTTTAAAGTTTTGTGGATGAAATGGGGATTTGGGTAAAACACCCATGTAGAAGCATGGGCAAAGCTGGCAACATGAGCTAAATCAGGATAAAAGACATTAATCTCCACCGATTTAACACAAAGACATGTTTTTCCTAGTTCTCATCACTGGCTGCAGTTTTGATAAGGAAAAGGAAGAGAGACACATGTGTTTTCAGTATGTCAGTAACTGACCTTCAGGAAAACAGTGACAATTGCCAAACCATCCAGCTTGTCGAAAGCCTCAGCTATATTCGAATACTTGTCCGTGTTCCAGTGAAGGAGATGAAGCTAAAAAGCAATTGACAGGACTGTTTTTGCTGGTTCTATTACAAAGAACGGCCGTAATCAGAGTAAAATAGTTAGAAATGCCATTCTGCACTCTTAGGGTCTGACCGTGAAACTGAGAACGTGCTTGTGAATGCCTGCAGATTTATGGTGTTCTGCTGAATTGCCCTGGCATTGTCAGGACTCATACTCAGGCTTTATCTTGAGGTAGGCAGAACTGCACATATTCCTGAAAGCAATTTAGGGGTAAGTACAGAGAGATGTGGAAAATCACAACTTAGAAGGGACGTATATTTTTCTAACTCTACTGCTAACAGTCTCCTGTGCATGCCTTTATTTCCATGTTTTTAAAAACGTAATACATAGCATTTTGAGGAGTGTAACCCCTTTGTTACACATGGTGCAATATTTATTCACAATAGTCCCATTTACTGCAAAAGATTGATGGTATGGCCATGAACATCATGGCTGTGGGTGGTTTATATTCAACAGACATTTCAACAACTTTTAGTTCTGACAGTATTTACTTTAATAGAGTTTTGAGGAACTTTTGTTCATCCTAGTATGTTGCTTATTATATCTTGAGCTATTTTTCATGTGAAATACAAATTTCCAAAAACTTACAGAACTTGGAAATCACAATAATTTCTTTTAATGCCTTCTCACCTATGAATACGCTTAGTAATTCCTTAGCAACTATTTAACTCTATAGCAATAGCCTAGTCCAGGATTATTTGTATAACGTTTCAGCAATGTGGTCACAGAAAATATCAAAACTTCTGCAAATACAAGGAGGAGATTCAAAAATACAGAGACAGAACATGGAAATTACCATATAAAGCACATAATTTTAAAATTCTGATTTAAATTAGAATTTTTTTTTAATTTCTGGTATTTTTTAAAGCTGAATTCCTGTCTTTTCAACTTAACATCTTTACTGTTTCAACATATTTAAACTATCGATTCAAAGCAAACTAATAAACACTTAATCATGTGCTGCTTAAACACAGCTTAAGTGCACTATCTCTTTACAGCAGAAAGCAATTCTAAAGGGACACCACCTTCTTATCTTGGCTGTATCAAATGAGATAGCTTTAGCTCTATCAACAGCGGAAAATTTCCTATTAGGAACACACTTCTGGCTATGTGTTCCTAACGCCTAAATTAAAAATGCATAATCCATCTCATTAGATTGTCATGTTGTAATGTTCCTAAAATCTAAAAAGCTGCCAAAGATAATATTACATGGATTGAACATGAATTATTCGCTGGCACGTTGATGACTATTAGCAGGACAGTAAGACACTGGAAAACAAATAAAATCTCTGACTTTAGAGGTGGCTTTTAATTTTTGTACAACAGACCTTGCTTCATTATGGAAGACATTTAATGTACTTGACAGCTGCTGGGGCCCTTACTAGATAACTTTTTCACCTCTTTCTCTTCATTAATTTCTTCTGGGTTTCCTTCTTATTTGCTGTTCTTGAAAAGCCAGAAAAAAACACCTTACGGTGATCAGCATGCTTGTAGCTTTGAGGAGCTCCAGCTACAATTACAGTGGGGCATTGGGTGATCAGACTCTCTAAAAAGCAGCTGATTTAGTATTAAGCTGAATGTACTTGTACAGCTGACCTTTTTAACATTTAGCAGATGTTTATACCTGCACCTTTCAGCCCTATTTCATTATTTAAATATGGATTTAGATTATCTAAATTTAGATTAATAAGTACTGACCGCAAAACCCAATTTGCTCTTGTAAAGTCTACTTTGCACATGTAGAGATGGTATTGCTTTTGCAAACTAAAATAATTATCAAAACTATCTACATATGCTTTTTTTTTTTTTTTTCCCTAGGGATGATATATGTCACTGGACTTTGAAAACTTGCTTTGACTTTTCTTTCATTGACTCTACCTCTGAGGCATATTTTCTTCCATCCACTGTGTGCTCCGAGCCTTGTTCATCTGTTTGGCCCCAATGGAAGTGAAACTGCTGCAGTCTGTATGTTCCAGTGAGAGGTCCACCTGTCAGCACTGCAAATGCATGAAGTAAGGTAAAAACATCATTAATCAATAAAGTCTTCCTGACAGGCAAGTTACAGATTTCAAAGATTTTATAATGTGCAAGCAGTTTTCTACATGTTAGCATGTTTTGATATTAGATTATTTTTAAACATTTGGAGGAAAAAAAAACCCAAACAAACCAGAACAGTTTGTGCAGTTAAGCCAAAGTTATTGAAGGTTTTCAGTCTAGGTATATATATGGTGCATTGTTTATAGTAAATCTGCACGTCTCCTCAATATGGTTCCAAAATTCAGGTGAAATATATGTGAATACACCTTCTACTCCAGAGAGAAAACAAAAGGAAAAGTAATGCAGAAAACCAGTAGTTTGCCAGAAACAGTAACTGGATTTTAATAACTGCAGAAGAAACAGTCCTACCACATGGAACTCACTTCCCACTGAAATTTGTATTATTTATGACAGTATTTTAAAGGTCTCTTCCTTCACAGAAGTAACAGTTATAGGTACCTGAAGTTTTCTGAATTTAGATTATGAGATGCCACAGGTGTTCTCAGATGTTATTGACACTGTTCATTGGTCATTATCATTAATTCCTTGCTTACAAGCACATAAATGTGTATTGATTCCCACTGTGGTGATAGGCACTTGTGATTGTACATAATGCTTAGAAATACGTGCCTGGAGTTCTAGCAGCACTTGCAATACTGTACATCAGCACAAATTAATCTCCTCCTTTGCTATCAAGGTAATAAGACTCTCTGAGCAAAAAAACCTAGTCCAGAGTGATTTCATATGGAGTTACACTGTGAGTAACTTTTACATATGCATAAATCTCCAAGCACATGTTGATTAAAAAAAAAAAAACAACAAACCACGATTGAGTAACTGTGTTTAGAAACTCTTCTCCTACCTTCCCCTCCCCAAATCAGTGATTGTCCTGGAGGTTTCCTACTGGGAAATTACCAGTCCTTTTGCCATTAGCACAAGAACACTTGCCAACAAGTCCTAATTTTAAAGAACTTAATTTGGATCTTCTGTGACAATTAAAGTGTGTTGCCAACTAGTATAACAAAATTAGCAAGCCTAATCTATATAAATACTCCTGAAAGGCACCTAGTCTTGTTTTCTATATAAACGAGAGAAAAAGCGAATGAAAAAAGAAAATGTCTCACACCTCCCTCTCCAGATACCCTTTTTACTAACCTGATTGATTGTCCTTATCCTCAAAATTCACATGGAAAGAATGTCAAACATTGACAATCTCTTTGCATGTGGAAGGTTTCCAAGTGATCTGGAGAAGTCCCAGTGATGCATCTTTTTTGACTTCCTTGGTTTTAATATCAATAGGAGATTGACGGTCTCCATTAGCAATAGGGTATAACTTGTGCCAGTGGTCAGGTCCTAGGCAAAATAAATAAATGAATGGAGTTTTCTACTTCAGATTCTGTACCAATACTGAATTCATACCACTTTCCCTTGGAACCAATTGTATACGTAATACAGATACTTGATATGTTAATAATCCATGTAATTCTGAAGAATTTTTATAAGGAAAAGAAATAAATATTCAATATATTATAAATAAATCTGATCTATTAAAGATAGCTTTTACCATTGTTGCCTTGATAACTCCAGTTCAAACTTGCCATTTTTACTCCTGGCAAGGTACTGTCTTCTTTAAAAAGAAACTACTGGTGCTGATGAAAGCTGTTAAGACAAGATCTCTGCTTTGATTTTCTTCTGAATTTCTAACTTACACCTGGGCTTTTATATGCCTGGTTAAACAGTAAAGACAGTAATATTTTCTAACCAACGTTTATTGATTTCATATGATTTCTGAATGGCATGAGAAACTGTGATAAGAGAAAGGATTGTAATAAGGAAATGGTGTCGATTGCAATGTTTACTTTTTGATTCAGCACATATATGAAGACAGATATGAGTTACATGAGTTAAAATGTACATCATTCTGACGGTTCAAATGTTGTCCAAAGACCTTCACACTAAATCTTCACAATCCAAAGGATAATTATGGTATAAAAGTGCAGACTACACAGAAAGCAACGGATGCTCAGCCTTCTTCAAAATCCATGTCAATCATTTAAGACATCTATGTGTGGATTTTAGAATATTATTTTTGACAATCACTAAAAAATAATCAATCTTAGTAGCTTTTAGTGGTGGAAAACAAATAACAATGTCAGTGTGCAACAAAATGGTCAATATGTTATTAAATATTACATCAATAAGACTAACAATGCTCTCATTAATAAAAGGATGTCCAAAGCCTACTAAGTCCTACCAGCTTCACATGTTTTGGGAATGATCTCAAGCCATTTTTGTACTGCTGGGAATCTTCAAGGCAATCTTCTTGCGGACTGATACCTGATTAAGTGCATGACTGAAGTCCAGCTTCCAAAGCTTTCTCTTGAATTAGGTCTTATCTTGTAGTTCAAGAATATTTACACACAATCACCTATTTCTTCAGTAATAAGATACCATGTTCTGACTGTTTTAAAGCTAAGTTCTACTAATACATTTGGGATTTTGCCTGGCTTAAACTGTCTCATACATGCTTAAGAGCAGGATTGTAGTTTTAGGACCATATGCTTGACAAGTACTAAAGCATAGTTAAATAGTTGTGGTATTATCTGTATGTGTAACCATTTGAATTGAGCGTATGGAGTAATTATTTCTATATAAAATAAGGTTTAGCATAGACTATGTAAGCATTGCCTTGTCATCCTGCGTTGCAAAAATGGAACCTGTTGACATTTTCCTGTTTTTCTTACAGATTATTCTCAGTAATAGGAAACTACTGATATCTGCCTTTGCAGATGTCCACAGCTGACGTCAGGAATTTCAGATACCATTGTGCAAGTAATGTTACAACCTGTAAAACTTGTGGCATTGATGCCTAGGAATATGACAGCTTGTAGGTGCGTCTCAGGTATAGGTGGACTGCAATTTTCTGTTAATTTTTTGTTGTTGTTCAGAAATTACGTTTTATCAGAATGGAAAATGTTCAAAGGAAAATTACCACCACAAACTTCTGCTGAAAGACAGGCAGCTTCACCTGCATAGACCCTGACCAATTTCCTAGTCAGATTACTAAGATGATATCAGTGTTTCACTACATCATGAAATTTCCGCTTGAAGTGAAGGGTGCACAATTTATGGTCCTTGGGCAACCTTGCTATGTAAACTATGTGAGAAATGAAGAGAGCAAAACTAATAGATCAGATGGAAATATTAGGTATGCTGGACTCAGCCAGTTATTAACTTGTAGTTCTCCAGCAGGGAGTCTGAAGACCTCAGTAACCAGGCTTGTGTCAAGCCTTCAGCACCCTGTTGGGGCAAGGGGAACTGGGAGGCCTGCTGCTGTCTTGGCTGCTACAGTCTGGAATGGCTGTTATAAATTACTGCCATGTTTAGCGCTGAAACAAACTCAGGCTGGTGTTGGTGACTAAGTTTTGAGGCTTCAGAAACCAAACCTGACACCAGACACTAAAAAGATGCAGCCCACTGCTCTGGAGAACCAAGCCATATGGCGGGCAGCCCAGGAGCCCCGAAAAAGCCACCTTCACCCCAGGCACTCAGGACTTGCAGCCTCTGTCCTGCTGCAGGAGAAGATTTAGGGTTTGAGTCCAAGTTACAAGGTTATTAGTGACATGGAAGCAGCCCAGCTTCCTGCCTGTCCCCCTAAGACATTTAGGTGTCCTGAAGGGACAGATAAGCCTGGTACATTGGGGCAAAGGTGTTCATGGCTCAAGAGTTTTTCACTTTGAGAATCAGAACTCTTTTGAATGTGTTTGTGGTGGGATTTAGCAGCCATCAGTAAAATTTATAAATTCTTTAAAGAACTGTTTTGAAACAGAATGTGTTTCTTGCAGAACAGAAATCCTGACTTTTGACCAGATCTGATGTCAATTATCATCGTTCCTTTGGAATAATGTAGGATAAATTCCTTCACTCCTGTGAGAGCCACAGCACTAAATCGACTGCAGTTGTTCACACTCACAGCAGAAAAAGTGAAAGAGCCAGAGACCCCTCAATTCCTTGTCTACTATCAGACATCTGCAGACAGTGTTGGTAGCTGTGAGTTAGTTATATAGATAGTATCAAAGACCTTCTGTCAGTGGTCAAGAACTATCAGCTGGACCACTGAAAAAAACAAGTTAGATAGGACTAATTCAGAGATCTGAAATTGTGTTTGTGGTTTGAGTGAAACAGATGGTGCATTCCAGCATGATATGGGGACAATGTAATATAAAGAAATTCAGTCACAAAGAATACAGAAGAATGGGGCAAGATCATTTTGAATTATCTAACAAAGAAAGGAATGAAGTTTTAGGAATAATAGCCAAAGGAAATATAAATCTTGTCTTGTTAGACAGATGCAATGGGAATATAATGTGGAAAAACTGCCGTAGTATCTTTCGCTTGATCAGATAATCAATGTCAATTTTCTGACTATGAAAAATATTCTTTCTGTGCGAGGTGAGCATGGCAGAGATTCAGTAAAATGATCTCTTGGAAGAGGAGCCAAGATTTCAGAACTGTGACCTTTTTACTGCCTCATCAGCCAGGCTTTAAAGTAATTCTAGACCTCTGATTTAAATGCAGCAGATTGTGTGTGACTGACACAACAACTGGTTTGCTTCTTGAAACCCAACACAACTACCTTATGATTCCTCCCGTTACACCCTTTTATACCTCCCTAAGTGCACTTCAGCTTTTAACTATGACCCTATCACTGTTGCTAAAATATTTAATTGCTAGTATTTCTTAACTAAAGTCTAAGCTGCTGGTTCTTAACTTCAAATTAAAACCTGTCAAAACCAATTTTTATTTTTTTTTCTGCATGAATGTAGAGAATGAGGCTAATGTTATGAAGGAGCTCTTGAGCTCCTGAAGAGCTCATGAACCAGGATTCAAAGGAAAAGAATCCAGTATTTCTTTGAATAGACTTACCACTTTTTTTAATTCCTGAAGTTACAATGTGGCTTTGTGATCAGCCTTTCTCCAGATGACAAAGAAATTAGGTTTGACTTTAAACAAAGTCCCAGGAACTAAGGTGATGCAACTTAGGAAGGGTGGCTGATACCTTACTGCTTGTTGCACAGCTCTGCCCATTTGGGGAACTTCTTTCAGTTCCCTCTTCTACCTGACAAAAAAACATTTCAAGGCTTTTTACTGCAACTTCATGCTAGGAGGAAAGACTTCTGAACTCAAAGAGCACCGAACTTTTTTTCCAGAATAAAAGCTTTTTACAAATTGCAATAGGAATTGAAGTAAATTATCTATAAATGTAAGTTGAAATAATACAAGTTAAAGCATTTTATAATTATTTTTGTGGCTCTCATGCATTCCTCCAGAGTACTTATAGTCCAGACGTTGTCACATTATACTAATGCATTAGAACTATGAGACTAAATTGCTGAGACAGCAACCACAAAAAATGTCCCAGCAGCACAGGGCATAAGAAGGCTGAGGATCATGGATGGTAATAAGCTTCTTAAAACACAAGCCTGTATTCCATCAGCCACTGATTATTGCCTCCACATTTTAGGCTATCCACACTCTGCAGGGAAAGTGTTAGCACCTTTCCAGGAAACTGGGATTAAAGAAATGTGATACCCTTGGCAAAACCTTCACAGTATAAATAGAAGTGGATCCCTGGCTTTCCAGATGAGTGTGGACAAAGTTTTAAAGTCTAAAGCCCTGAACCTGCAAACCACTATAGATGTGTCTAACTTTATGCATAGCAGGACACCTATTGACCTTATTTGCGAGTATGAAATTAAAAATGAACATCACAGTACAGGAACGAATGTAGAACAGTCTTATTTTAAGGACACTGGCCAGAAAAAAATAGAAAACTCTTCTGAAAAATATTAAATTACAAGAATGTTCAAAGGAAATTTTTCATTTTTAAAGTGCCAAATATTACATATCTTGATAGTGAATTGATGTGTGAAAAAATCCTGCCAAAAGTTTCAGTAGCTCTCATAGTGATCCTTCTTAGAGAATCAAGATATTGTTATTTGTGATGCTCTAGTCAAAATTAAATAAGCTGTTTAGATAATCTTCCCTTATAGCTATTGTAAGTAAACTAGTGGGAGGAAAGTTGCAAACTTATGAAAGTTTTGAAGTGAACTAGAAGGAGGGTGCTTCCAAACCATCAGGCATCGCTCCATCTGAGGAAGCTCTGGCCATCCTTGTGCAAAGTATTGCATAGGGTGCAAGAGACAAGGATTGCCTTAAAATAAGACACAGTAACTATTGGCCTGTGGCATAAAGGCAGGAGATAATAGGAGCCCAATGGTTGTGAAAGAGCTGTTGTCTCGTGTTACCTCATGCCTGCTTCCTGCACCAGGCTTTGCTGATGGGAGAGATACAGCTCAGTTCGTCTATGCACAGCTGGTTGTTGTGGATAGGATCAAACCTGGCCCCTCTTTGTGAGGGGAAAAATGTCAGCTTAACTGGGGAGTTTTATCTGCTATGGGCTACAGTTTTAGGATTTTAATACTAACTGAGCATTTATTTTAAGTGGTGAAAGATAATACATCTCTATTTTTATTTGCAGACAGACCTATAAAACTGTCGGTCCTATAACTCCCTGTCCCAGTTATGAGAACAGCCAAAG